TTCTCCTCTACCTCCTCCTTGCTATGAGTGGCTTTAAGATTAGGACAATCCATTTTTATATGTCCAACTTTTTTGCATTCATAACAAATAACTTCATTAGAAACCATAACATTTTTGTGGAACTTACCTTTATTCAACTTCTGGCATCTCATTTGTTTCATTTTAAGAAAACTCCTGAATTACCTTATCATCAAAGTAATGTCATCCTCATCCTTAGGTTATGATTTATCACTCTCTGAGTCATCCACTTTCAATGCTATGTTCTTCTCCTTTCACTGTTCTCCTGCATCAATCTTCCTTTGAGTCACTCCTTGCTCATAAGCAATTAGTGAACCAAGAAGATTATTAATAGAATAAACATTTAAATCCTTAGACTCTATAATAGCAGTTATTTTAGCATCATAGGTAGTAGGCAAACAATGAAGTATTTTATTAACTATTTTAGCATTCATTAGTTCCCTACCTAATGCATATAAAGAAGTGACTATTTGAGTTAATCTTGTGTACATGTCAGGAATGGATTTATTATAAAAAATTATATTTTCAACAATATACAAAATTTAAACTATAAACAAATTTTACAGAACTAAAAAAATTTAAACTATCTTATAGTTTAAATGATTTACAAAAAAAAACATTCGTGAATTCAGCTCTATACTTTAGCAATTCTTCTTGCCAACTTCTACTTTCAGTCTATTTTGTGTCATTTTCAAGAGATATCTTTTCTATGTATTTACAAACAAACATTCTTCAATCTATACTATTATTCTGAATTGGCACACCCTTAATTAAAGATATCTTTCATCTTTTGATATCATAATCAAAAGCTCCTTTCATCTCAATATATATGTCTTTAATCTGAAAAATATTTAGAGCAAGATTTAGTTCTATAAATTTTGAAAAATTAAACACGAGTTGATCTGAAACTTATGATTTTTAGAACAACAGTCCTATGAGTGTGGTTGGGCAATGCATCATAAAAATTCCACTTATATTCTTTTAGCAACCCAACCAAAAGAGTCTAGAGCAAGGACTCAATGATTGGTTGTAGCAAAATATTGCATGAAGAAACAACAATTTCGATTATATGGTCGATATATAATTTGGACAATCTTTCCATTGATTTTTAATTCTACAATAAGTAAATATAAGAAATGAAAAACAAATATTATAATTGGTGTTAAAACTGAATACTAACCCAATAAATTGATGAGATGTATAGAAATTTATGGTACTTTTCAGGCATATGTTTACACTTCTCATCTAATAAAAGGGCGAATACATCAATATGATCATTGGCTAAATAATTGTCACTTAATAATTCATCAATGTCAGATCTAAAAATAACAATATTCCTAATTTGAAATACTGTAGCATCCCTGTAAAAAAAATACACATAAGCCCATCATAAGCAGGAGAATACGTAAAACATACGCACAATATATGCATATCATACGTATAATTTACGCACAATATATGCATATCATACGCATAACATCTGCACAACATTAGAAAATACCAAAAAAATATATGCATATCATACGCAAAACATAAGCACAATATACACATACCATACTCATAACATACACATAACATATGCACAATATAACCATATCATAAGCATAACATTAGTTTATAACAGTTATATTTTTACCTTTTATTGAACTTCTTCTAGCATCGATACATAAAATCTATCTTCTTAGAACTAAGACAATCAATGCCTCTGTAATACGACACTATTTGATTTGCAGGTTCAGTAGTTATTACAACATCATTGATTGGGATTGGTTCACTTTGGAATGAAATTATTTGCATTTGGGCTAAGATTGTATCATCAATTTTGTGGGAATGGATTGACTCATCAATTTTGTGTGATTGGATTGACTCATCAATTTTTTGGGATTGGATTGGCTTATCAATTTTTTGGGATTGGATTGGCTCATTAATTTTTTCAAATTGGATTGGCTCATTTTGGTATGGGATTGGTTCACTTTCGGGTTGGATTGTTTTATGTTTCTTCACTTTAATATTTCTCTTGAATTTTACAATATCCTTTACTAGTACTGGCACTTCTGTAGTTTGAAATTCTTATTTTTCTTGGTCATTAATCCTATCAGGTGATCTGATTTCTTTGGATATGGGAATGTTTCTGTTTCTTATTGGAAGATGAGAAGCAGCTAACAAATCATTTCTCAAGAAATAATTTGTTGTGAGCAATGTAATTATTGAGCTTGACATCAATAACTTCTATTCTTTTAGCAAGTTGTTCTAACTTTCAACTCAACCTACCTTCAAATTCATTAAATAATTTTGTACATATTTCTTGGCAAGAGTTGACTATTTTTTCATGGAGAAAATATAGTGCTTCAGCAAAAAAAAAAATAAGTGTCATTGCTTAGGAGATTGGTGGGGATAATGTTGATATGGAGAATAATGGAAAGATTAGTGGGGGTCTTGCTGAGGAGGTGGTGTATGCTGAGGAGATTGGTGGGGAGTTTGATGGGTAGATATTTCATGATGGGATGGAGAGCTGTGTGATGGATATTTATTGATGTTAATCTGATCAATTTCAGCCTGGGTAACACCTTGGAAGACATTAAAATCTGCAAATATATATATATATATTAGCAAATTTTTATTCTTTATAGAGGTATTAATTGAAATTTGCTGCAAGATATACCCGACTACTCCTTAAAATAACAAATAAATTAGTGACGGTCTCAGTATTATATACATTATCATCGGCCCATCATAGGAAACGGGGCCTTTTATCAGTGTAAGCAGAAGCATGAACAGAAGTGTGCTCCAGGAACCCAATCTACATAATATAAAAAATAATTTTAGCAAATGATTTATAAATTAAATAAAAATTAGAATGAATATAACACATAATTAGTAGATACACAAAACTGTTTATGTAACCTGCTAGCTTCTTATTTGAAATCTTATTGGAGGCCTTATTAAAGTCTTCAACTAAAAATTCTCTAATCAACCCCACCCAGTTTATTGACAAGAAATCATCTACATTATTGTCTATTTGGCTAAGCAACCAATGTGTTTTAAAGTTCACAAGTTGAAAAAATAAATTTGAACATAAATACATAATAAACGTTCTCAACATGGTCTCTGGGAGCGTTTTCTTGTTCAACTCCATCATGTCCGACTTTATTTCTAATGATGTAACTGTTGTAGGTGCTAAAGAAAGCCAAGATATAACTTCACATTTATTTGGAAGACCAGAGAGAATGGCCACTTCATCAAAAGTGAAAGGAATAGCATGCCTCTTTAGAATAAAACATTGCTTTGGAATATTTCACCTTGAGATAAGCTCATAAATAAGTAAAACATTTTGCTCAAATCCAGAAAAATTGTAAAAATTGTATGATATTTAATCTCTTCAAACCGTCAACAACTTCATGAGAAAGATGCTGAGCAACATTATGACAGATTGATCGATATGTTAAAACATAGTATCGATATGTAATATGATGAACATATATCTGAAAAATCAATGTTAAAAAGTTAATAAAAATACGCACAACATACATACAATATACGTAAAAAATACGCACATTATACGCAAAACGTACGCACATTATATGCAGAGAGTACGCACTATATACACATGGAGAACGAACAATTAAGGAGAATGCACACAACATACCATAACGTACGCATAACGTACGCATAACCTACACATAACCAATGCATAAAACATTTATCCATTTTCTTTTATATTTTTTGTAAGATCCAAAGAGTTCATTTGTTAAAATTTGTTAAAATATGTTAGGGTTTATGTTTCAGCATAAACCCTAAAAACAGTGAAAATACGTTACACCCTGTAACTAGCATCAAACATTTATGCAATTATCAAATATGAAATATGCTTAGCATGAGCATAAAAAAGAATAGCATTGACATAAAATACGTGTAGTATAAACATAAAATACATAGAGCATGAGAAACTTCGGAGAAGAACACCAGACTGCAAGAAGAGAGAATGCACGCAACAAGTGTTTCGCTTTGGAGATGGAACGCCGAAAGTTGAAAATTGAAAAGAAGCCGCTCCACTAAGAAATTCACGCCATCATTTTTCACGTAGGCAAACCACGTGTAATAATTTTATTGGCACCCGAATACATCTCTACGTCCTAAATACGCTCCAAATAACTTTCAGTTAATTGGCGGGTTGGTAGAGGGTTTGCTAAGTCGATAGTTTAAAAGATGAAGAGAGACACAACTATCACGAGAAATGAGTTTCAAATCTTAATGGACTCTAAAAGCAATATTCTCCCCGAAGACAAAAACCGTAATCTCATCTCATCTGGCAGGAAGGACCTTTTGTACACTTGAACACATGCCTTGTAAAAAATTAGGTTAGTTTTCCCTCCTATTAACTGGTCAACAATAAGAGGACAACGGATAGCACTTATTATTTTTTGTATTCCTTCGAGGTTCCAACAAAGGGAGTGGCAAGCCATAGATCTTCACACAGCTCATCTTGGACTGTTGGTTGAGAGCTTAGACTTCCAACCAAGAGGTCTAGGATTCGAGTCTTTGTGTATGCGTTGTGTGTGTGAGTTTGCCTTAAATGACCTAAATGTCTCCAAAAAATAGCCATAGATCTTCATCCAGTTAAGAATAAAGGATAAATCATATTTAGGTCTGAGCACAGGAGATCACTTTTGAAGAATGAAATATATATATATACACGTTTCTACACAAGTACTCCATGAAGAGATTAAAAAATTTATTTTGTGCTTGGAACTTCGATTACTTGAATATCTAAATCAAGCTCAAATCACTACCATATCACGTCGTTTATCAGCCATGATTTTCGTGGATCCAACCTTTAATTGGATGGAGTCATTCGAAACTAGAGAGCAGCCCTAAGAACCAACTTCACAGTTCACAGCCTTCTTGCTTAGTACTGCAAGTACTTGTTAAGTTGCAAGAATGAGGTAGCAGAAATAAACATGCAAGTATTGAAAAGGCAAACGAATCTGAAAAACTAATTTCATTTCAACGGATTTGTAACCAAATAAATATCCACAAAGTGAGGAGACCCTAACTTCAAGAAACATCACTTAAAGACATTTAGGTTCTACTGATGACTGAAGAGCCTCAAGAACTATCCAAATTAAACCAAAGAAGTAGAACAAGGAACAATGCAGAATAACCTGGAGTTTATTTTGGTTCCAACAAAAAACTGACTGTTACAAGACTGTTGACCAAGGCTGCGGCTCATCGGACTGGCTGCTGGTTGTAATGGTTCTTCTCTTTCTTCTTTGCAGCAGCAAGTTTCGCACTCCTTGCAGCAGCCTCAGTTGAGGCAATTTTGGATGCAATATCCATTTCCTTGCCTGACTTTTTCCTCTTCATGGAAGCCACCTTCTTCAACCTCTCTTTCATATCTACTCCAGCAGCGGTCTCTTCAACGGCTTCAGCAATTATCACTCCATCAGAGCCATCAGCATCATCTGCTAATTCAGGTGTATCCTTAACTTCTCTAGAAGATTTTTCTTTCTTTCCCTTCTTCTTCTTTGAAGTCTTGCTTTCTTCTGTGGCTATAATATTTTCGTTATCACCGTCCTTTCTTTGCTCATCTGGATTTTTCTCTCGGGTGGCAACTGCAGAAGAACAAATATCAATAGGAAAAATGCAGGCAAATTAATGACTTCAGGATATTTATATTAAAACAAGATTTAGTAGAGCAGAAATATTACTAATAAACCTGAAGGCATCAAAATAAGAAAATGGACATACCATTACTTTCAGTTTGACAAGCACCTCTGTCATCCTTGCTGGAAACTGCAAATTCAGCTAAAAGAGCATCAAGTTCTTCGAGCTCTTTTTTCTTCTGTTCCTTTTTGGAAAGTTGCTTTTCAGAATCTTTAGGTGCAACTGGAGCAAGGGAATGTGTATTCACAATTAGCTCAGCTGAGGGAGGAGCCTCAGGCACCTGTTCACCTTCATCCTCAATGTCATCGTCACCATCATCAAGGCCATCATCCTCACTTTCACTTTCCTAAAACGCAGAGAATGGTTAACCAATTAATATTCATCGGAAGTTTTGGCCCATAAGAAGTTATATATTCTCATACAAGAACTAATGCATGTCAACAGTGATAATTTTAAAAAATTGGTTCATTCCATGCAATGAAAGGCGCAGGTTTAAAACCACGTTTCATTCTACAATGAAATGAGCTAGGAGCCAAGGAGAATAAATAACTCGCATGTATCCACACAGAATAGGCATGTAGATCTCCAGATGACTTATCTTTATTTTTTAGTAGTCGGAATGAAATTGCACAAATGTTAGGATCCATAAGGTTAAATGACAATAGATCAAATAAAGTTCCGTCTCAGACTTACATTTAAACCCCTTGTAAATTTACCAACAAAAAAGCAAATACGCAACAGTACCAACAGATAAAGTTTACAAAGCTAGCCATCCAAATTGTTGTACTGTTCTAAATGTTCCTGATGGCAATTTAACTGCATTAGCATAAGATTAGGCACTTTTAAAACCGAGGTCAAACTACTTCACCCAAATCTCAGTGTTATCCTCATCAAATGCAACCCGCCCAGCTCTGGTCAACCATATAAATACTTCTACCAAGAAATAATTACCCTTCAATGTATTTGATCCCCTAACATGATCATTACTCTCAAAATAATCCTCATTAGAAAGACTAAGCATCATCCCTCCCTTAATCTATCAAGTTTAACAAATTAAAATAGATGGGGTCAGCCTTTTTTACACTACTACACAATCATCTATATTCTGTTTATGTACGTACGTGAATGCAGAAGCACATGCAAACATAGGAGCACCTAGGCAGGAAAACAGTCCCAAGGAACCCGTAGAAATGTGTAGTGGCTTTCCAAACTGCTCAAGACTTATGAAGCAAGCTTGGTAATCACAACTTTTGAACAAGAAAAAAGTTGTTAAGGTCTGCTAATAACTAATCTAATGATAAAATAAACTCGATGGTTGTTTGGTACAAATATTAGGAGTGCAAAATAAAGGTAATCCAATAGCTGCGATTTTCTTCGGTGTGTGTATATATATATATATATAATTCATGGTCCAATGATTGGAAGAAAGGTCCTACGATTGGAAGAAAGTTAATGCAAAGCAAAATATCAAAGTATTTGGAATTCCTAATCCAATTCATGTTCAATGCATTTGAATCGACCGATTTGGGAGAATTCTACATACACCAATTTTATGAAGCTTTGTCGACCAACGCCCGATGCTCATCGCTGCAGCAGCCTTGCCCACTACCATCCCATCACAAGTTGCTCACCACCGCTAGCTGGATCACTATTGTTGTCAACCACAAGTGGCAACCAACCGCCACTGCTAATGACTGCCCATCGCCAGCGAACATCTGCCCCGCTACTTTTGCCTTAAGGTTTGATGCTAAATTAATTTTACCACAAATCAAACACCAAAAAAATCTCTTGCATTTGTAGTGTACTCACCCAAGCAATTTTAAAACAATTTCAATATACTACATTTACTTTATATTGTATTCCTTTTAATATGCATTCCTTTTAAACAAACCCCTTAAAATAAACCAAAAGCAAAGCATTTGAACAAGGGATTAAGAATACTTAATACCCATTTTTATGAATTTGGATTTTGCCCAACTTAGGTGATCTATTTGCAAGTAAAATTCGTAACCTACGATCTCATCCCCCGCCACTATTGTCGTCCCTCATTTATAACCCATCATCACCCTCATCCTTATCGCCCACCTTTATCACTTGAGTATGCCCTTGCTACATTTTAATATATTTAAAATGTATCATAACAAACAAAACAACTCAAAGCATTTGAGACGTCCAACCAAACAACTCAATGCATTTTAATTACTCTACATTTTTATAATATGTGTATTTAAAAATAATTTCAATATACTACATTTACTTTATATTGTATTTCTTTTAATATGCATTCCTTTTAAGCAAACCCCTTTAAAATAAACCAAATGCAAAGCATTTGAACAAGGGATTAAGAATACTTAAAGCCCATTTTTTATGAATTTGAATTTTGCCCAACTTAGGTGAAAAATGCCTCAAGGCTTAAGCCTTGTGATTTTTTTATAAGACGTGCACTTCAGTTTTGCTGGGGTGTGCCTTGCCTCATTATCGCGAAGAATATGCCTATATATATATATATATATATATTCTTAAAGCTTAACTAAATCCTAAACTAAAGGCCAGAACAAATCACGTCTTCATGCATCCTCGAGTCGTAGTAGCTTCCTTTCAACTACCTCAACCTACAACCCGCCGCCACCGTCGCAACCACCATAGTCGTAGATGTCGTCGGGCATCACTTAGAAGCCACACACCACCACCACCTCCTCTAAAAATTTAGACGTATTATTCTTATTTTTGTATTGATGACAAAAATTTATGAAAGAGGAAGATGATTGAAATAAAGAAAGAAGTAATTGTGAGGCATTTGACTCCACAAGATGAGGTAGAGACCAATTTTTTATGATGACTCAAATAAAGATCGCCCCTTCAATGATGACAGTGTAGATGATTTTTGAGTTATTGCTAACTATTTTTGCTTTCTTTACGAATTAAATGAGAATGAATAGGAAATTGAAAAAGAAGATATTTAGAGTTGAACATAACGTTACATGATATTTTTATATAATTCATATATTTTATATTATTTTGCATCATAATATTTAGATTTCAATTATATTTCAAACAATTTATCACTTGCCACTTTACATTTTATGTTATTTTTTGTTTCATATGTATATCAATTTGTTACTTCATAATTTAATAGAAAGTTAATGAGTTATTCTTTAACATATTATTTGGATAATATATATAAATCACTTTTAACCTTTACTTTCACTTTACATAATTTTTGGATTTAAAACACCTTAAGACGTACTTCTTGACTTACAAGCAAAAAGAATTCACCAATACCAATTGTGCATTTTGAAACCTTCATTAACATCAAAACAAATACAAAAAGAATTATCTACATGAAAATACTTAAGTTTGTATTACGTTTAAACTAACCAAATGGCTACTTAATTTTGAGATGTTAAAAATAGAGTATGTAGTGACCAAGGGAATATAAAGTACATAAGGCATAGCTTATTTAATCTATCTAGACCACCCCTGAGCCCACCCCCCTCCCTCCCTCTCACTTAAACCTTCCCTAACCTCCCTTTTGATATAATCCTGATAACCGAAGTCAATTTTATGATTGCTTTTTCACCCAAAAGTTACTCCATCATTAGAATTTAAAACCTCAAGAAAATTATTTTGAATTCATCTAGTTTAATAGATTTTGTATTAATTAAATCACTTTAATGCTTTGTTGATTAACCCATTTATTATATCCTACATTCAAATTTTATAATATTATAATGCAACCTTAAGCTCTAAAAATAAATTCGATCGAGGATACTTGGGTTTGAATTTTGTTAATGTAGATCTATAATGAGATGCACAAAATCATGAAAGTGTTATGTAGGGCTGCAAGCGAACCAAACGTTCGACGAGCTACTAGTTGTTCAGTTTGATTAAAGCTCGTTTGCGATCGTTTAATTAACTAAACAAAACAAACTTGAACAATATTTTAAATACTCGATTCTTAGATAAACAAACTTGAACACTAATGCGTTCGGCTCATTTATGTTCGCGAACAACATCATTTGAAGTTCATGAACAAGCTCGACATTAAGCTCGATAAGAAGCTCGATTCGTGTTCGATTTTGAACTCGTGAATAAGCTCGATAAAAATAATTAATATTTGACTATAGAATTAATAAATATAAATAATCATTACCTTTGTTACATAGACAATTGCTTTTATTATGAATGTGTTTGCTCATAGATATGTTCATGAACGTGTTTGTTTGATAGTTAAAAAAAAATTATTAAATATGTTCGCGAACAAGCTCGATAAACACTAAACGAACGAACATGCACTGAACATGAACCAAACATGAACACTCCTTAATTTAAATGAACCAAACATGAACACAAATGCTAAAGCTCGAACAAACATGAACCAAACATGAACAAGCTGATATTAAATGAACACAAACATGAACACTCACATACTCGGCTCGGCTCGGTTCGTTTGCAGCCCTAGTGTTATGTCATACCAAGAAGAAAGGTGAATTAGTTATTTTAAAATCAATATGCAGCGAAAAGAAACTTTGAATAACAGTTACAACTTAAGACAACAATAGAGCAAAAGGTACTAAGAGATTTTATTTTGTTTTATATTATAATTTTTTTTAGTAACAAAATTACTAAAGATTGATTGAAAGCAAATGTTCTTACTAATAGAAGAAAAACATTCAAAAGATTGCAATCACAATATGATCAAACCACAAATCTCAAAAGAAAGGATTGTAGGAAATAAAATGCAGAAAAGTAAAAGAAAGCAAACCACGATTTTATAGTAGTTTAGTCAAATTCAACCTACGTCCACTCCCCGAATGTCATGTTTAGGAATTCCACAAGGAAACTCTCCATCAGCACTCAGCAAGGCGAGAAGCCCTTCTCTTTTCCCAAGTAAACAATGACCTTCACAATATTCGTTCTCCTGAAAAGCCTAAACCCTCCTGATCCTCGCAGCGGCAGAGATGTCGCTACCCTTGCCCCTCGGCTAATCACAAGTCTTTCGCCCAAAAACTTCTTCCCTAGAGCTCCTCTCCAAGAGCTTTAAAATCACAAATGGGAAGACTCAAGGTGCAAAACGATGAGGACAACCGTATGACTCCCTCACACACCCCTTGTGATGCAACCAAAATTTTTAGGAAGCTAAGGTTAAAACAAAGATGACGTCTCCCTTTCGAAATGAAATAAACATACACAAATAGAATAAAATGATATTATTATATCCCACAATAGTTTAAACAAATACAAACATTCCTTACAACTTAAAATAAAAGGACATCACCATACGACTTTTCAATGCTTTGAGAAGAAAGATACAATTGGGTGTAAACTTGTGGAGAGAAGAATTAG